TTTACCATAGCTAGGAAAAGTAGCCATTTCTCTGGGACTACAGTGCTAAAATACTGGTTTATCATCAACATCATAGGAGCCAATAGAGCAGGGTCCCTAGAATACATATCAGGGATATTCAAGGAATAAATGGGATGAAACTTATATTTTTAAGTGACTGCGCATTTCCTTATTAAATTGGGGAAAATATTTGATTTTAGGACAAACCTATTTGGAAGTTCTTGAGATTTCCGGAGAAATTCTCAAAAATTTCTGGAAGTTCTTGAAAGCTTAAAAGCCTTTAATATACTTTAAAACTTATCAAAAAGGGTGCCAAACACTTAATAAAAATAATCTGTTTGATCTGGATTTAAAAATATTTAAAAACAGTATTTTCCATTTCGCAAGTTATAAGTTGAAATTGTGTGAACTTAAAAAAACTAAAAAAGAAAGAAAGGAGATATAAAGTAGTGCTTAGAAGGTAATTAATTGGACTGTATGTGTGGCTTTTAAGTATCTTATACTTATGCCTGATATCCAAGAAGCCAAGTGTTATGACTTTACAGTTCGAATTTTGCCCCCCCCCCTAGGAGCTCCTAGGGGGGGGCAAAAAAAAATTTTTCGCTTCGCGCAAAACTTGCCCCCCCCTAGATTTATTTCTGTATACGCCCTTGGTGGAGTATTACTTGAGTTAAAGAAAAATTTATAACTTTAATAACTAAAGCGCTGAGTTTGGATCGAATATAGAAAATTGGTTCCAGAAAACTTTTCTCAGCTAGACATCCCACTAAATATTAAACTCTAAGAGAGACGATGAAAACTATTTAAAGATTTCAACATTTTATTAATTAGAGGAGGTCAGAAATGTATGTAACGCGCCTGTTTTATATTAACATATTTAGCTGAAAGCTTTCACAAAAACATTGGATAAACATCCCTGGATTTTCAGCAAAATTTTTGTAAAAATAGTAAAATTCAATTTAGAAAATTCCAGTTAATTCCTTTAAATACAAAGCAGGATTTAAACTATGGAGGGATGGGGTGGGGATGAGGACAGAGGAGGTGGGGGGTAATTGGAGAATATGATGGTAGAGGGGGTATAATTTAAAGGGAAAAGGGAAGTTGACGGACTAGGGGAAAGGATGGGGTAATTAAGGAGAATGGGAAAAGGAGTT